TTCCACCAAGTAATGTAAAAGAAGTCTTACTTTAATTCAATAGGATTTTCAAACCATGTAGAATTGCAGGAGCACAAGTCTTTAGGTCAATGGACAGAAAGAATACAAAAAGATGCTGTTTCCAGTGTAATATTATATTAAATATCATATATATATATTTTCTGGGTTTCTTAGTTCTATATTATTGTTAACTGAACAACATTGCGTTTTTGACTATAAAAGACGTCAACTTGGTCTCTGGGAAATTGTGTTAAGCATCATTAAACGTCCTCTGACATTTATAAACCACATGATTTATTGATGGCAATTGATCACTACTGTGGCAGCAACTACACAACACAAAAACTCTCAATTGTCAAGGTTACTATCAATTGTCCCATAGAACAAAAGATGTGTTTAGCAGGGTTCATTTTTAGGTATCACATAGATACCCTCAGGAATAGCCTGTTAACAAAGACAGTGAATGATGGAAAAATAAAAAGGAAATTCAATAATCACGTACCGTGTTATGTTTCTTTGGAGCTCCACACAGTCCATGGCGTGGATCCACAAAAAGTATGTCTGCAAAGAGATTGCACAATTGCATCAATATTTTTGCAATAATGAAGAATGAGTACATTAATTGAGCTTCATTTCTTGTAATGGGTCATTTTACCTGCACAAGAACGAAGACAAATTGCACCACAGGAAATGCAACCTTAACAGCTGAATCGCAGTGGAGGTAGCCCACATAGCTGGCTATCTTGAAAATGTCCATGATGATAGTAAGCAGTCCAAACAGCACAAGTCCTCCTAAATAAAGGGGCAATAAACAGAATCATAAAACTGTTTCAAAATGATTATTATATAACAAAAACGTAATTCTAATAAATTACTTACCCCTGAGCCAAACAGGTCCTGCATGGCAATCTTTGTATGCAATGGCATTTTCTGTCCTGGCCGTGAAGGCGATATAATAAACCACCCAGATGGAGGTGAGGAGGAGGAGGACGATGAGGAACATCTGCAGGTCAGAGCTGCTGATATTAACATCTTTGTAAGCACTGCCGCTGACCAAGGCACATCCCAGGATCAAAATGTTTAAACAAATGATCACAGATAGCATCAATCCGAGGTGTCGACCACGCTCCTTAAGGACCCCATTTGAAGGGATGTTCAGCTCTGGTTCACATGTATTCCCGGATCGACTCGGTACATTGATGTTGTTGGAAAGGTGGGCCTCCTCCCTCTCCCTGTCTTTGACGGTCATCCTGCATGGTTCACAGGGATTGCCATCGGCCAAACAGTCACATGCATAGCCAGTGTTCAAACACATCCTTCTTTCTTTAAGGTCTGCTCACAAATCAGTGGTTTTCTGCATCTTGTTTTATATGAGACATTACAGGTTTAACAGCTACACCCACTCATCAGGTCCCTGTAAAGACAGATCCCGCCCAAGCGAAACCTTTTCACTGGCACAAAATCAGCATAATTGTCACCCTGATGGTGCTACACAAAAGAGTAGTTTCAAATCAACAAATGGGATTTAATTTCTCCCTCTCCAGGCTCCATTTGCCAACAATGCATGTGACTGGTGCGGTATTGAGTGAGAATTCACAAACACGTTTACATCCATTTTTTATTTTAAGCTACCCTCTTTGTATCAATAATAAAAGTAGGAATAACATTAGGACAAGTGAAATATATTTAAAAGTCACTCTTGACAATTACCAAAATGTAGATCATATAACAATCCAACAAAGCATTGACCTTCTAATATCCAACAAGAGGTTTGGGTACCTGTAAGCCTACCTGATGCAGTGGGATCCTGTGAGGCAGTCTGAGCTGTCATGCCTTTTATATGCCTTTAAAAAAACACTGTGGTTCACTGTACAGTCATAAATGTCAATAATCTGTTTTGAACACCATATTATTACCAAACACAGCCTGTTTTGCACAAAATACTAATGCAAAGTTCAAAAGATGTTTCCTGGAAAAAACCTTTTCTCACGATTTCCAAAATACAAGAAACCGGTTTATTTTTGGATAAACAAAATGTTTTGATATTATACAATACACTGGAAATGTCAGGTATTTCTTGTAAAAGCCTTCACAAAGCATGCACACTCTTAATGTTCATTATCTTTTTTGCATTTATGAATACTTTTGGCTGGAGTCTTTTATTAGTGTGTTACTTGGTTCTACCTGATTCCCTTTTTTCAGACTGCATGCAGCTCACAATCTAAACATGATCTTAAAATATTTATGTAGGCGTAACATGTGTTACTCTATTATCTTATTGATTCCCTGCTTGAATTACTTTGAGTTCTTCAATGCTAAGCATAGCTCAATTAATAAGTGTGTCTCTGTGGCTCGTCTCTTAGGCTGGAGGTGTAATACATGAAAAGCCACTATCTGTGTCTTTTGTTATGTGAATTTCAATGTGGGTATCGTCTGATTCTTCAGTCTGCTGTCCCTGGTGCAAATGCTTATATTAGATCTTTACTTTATCAGGGTGGGGCTGATAGCAGAGGTACTTTTTCATTGTGACACTCATGTCGCTCATGAATCCATGTTTGTCTGCATTCATGTTTCTCCGGCAAACCTACCACCAATGGAAAGTTTAAGTGAGAACAATGGTTCATTCAAAAGAACACAAACTCGCAATGACACCAGTGATTCTGACTATTCCCTGTCAGTCACATTGAGACATTTCCAGGAAATATTTTGTATTTCTAAATGTGCAGAGGGGGGAAGTAACTAAGTCGTTTACTCAATTACTGTACTTAAGTACAATTTTGAGGTATTTGTGCATTACTTGATTATTTCCACTGTTGTATACTTTGTACTTCTACTCCACAACAATTCAGAGGTATATAGTGTACTTTTACTCCACTTGTTTTGTACCTTTAGTTACTTTACATATTTGGACACTTAAATAAGACTTTAGTTACACCTGGAGTTAAATCAAATGCTACCCTGCAGTATACAAAGTCATTACAATTAGCTGCAACTTTACCAGCTTTGATAACACTTTAATGCATCAATAATTATAATCAAAACATATCATAAATATATTATTCTGAAATCTGCATAGTGAGTACTTTTACTTTTGGTACTTTAAGTATATTTTGATGCTAATACTTTTGTACCTTTACTTGAGTATATATAGGTTTATAACAATAGAGGTTACGTTTTTAATCAAAACATAAAATGTGTGTGTGTGTGTGTGTGTGTGTGTGTGTGTGTGTGTGTGTGTGTGTGTGTGTGTGTGTGTGTGTGTGTGTGTGTGTGTGTGTGTGTGTGTGTGTGTGTGTGTGTGTGTGTGTGTGTGTGTGTGTGTGTGTGTGTGTGTGTGTGTGTGTGTTGTGTGTGTGTGTGTGTGTGTGGTGTGTGTGTGTGTGTGTGTGTGTGTGTGTGTGTGTGTGTGTGTGTGTGTGTGTGTGTGTGTGTGTGTGTGTGTGTGTGTGTGTGTGTGTGTGCTGCATCCTTACCAAACCTGTGAAGTTTTGGGCCGTTTGGAGCATTTTCACTGAAGTTATGAGAAAACCGTGTTTCATGGTGAGCATTTGAAGATTTGAAGAAATCTCAAAACTGTCCCAAAAATATTGAAGGCACATATTGATGATTTGTAATATTTGAGTGATTTCTATGATTCATTAGACAGAAAGTTAACCTTTGCTTCATCAGCTGGAGATGCATTTCTGATAAGACAAGAGAGATAACACCTGAGCCGCCAGGAAACACTAACCTTCACCACATTTATTGCAGTCATAATCTGACGATGGACAGAGGTCTACAACACCCAAACAACCGGGTTGTGGTTTTAAAAATAGAATATAGGGGTCATTTTTTACTTTTAAAAACAAAACTAGGCTGTCCTTTGAAACCTACCTGATTCATTACATATTGGTTGTTTAAGATGATGTGTGAAGACAGAGATAAGAGACATTCCTCTGAGAGATAACCTGGAAAGAGCAGTTCACACTAAGAGAATTTCACTTCCTTTAGCGCAGTACATAACAAAACTGTGAAACAGTACAGTATATTGATGTCCAATTGATTTAACTGTCCACACCATGTGACCTCTTACGAGAAATTACAACATTATCCAACATTTCAATTTGTTTAATTTTGTATTTAATTAAGTGGGGCACAACCGATAATGCAAAAATAACTGTGTGTGTGTGTGTGTGTGTGTGTGTGTGTGTGTGTGTGTGTGTGTGTGTGTGTGTGTGTGTGTGTGTGTGTGTGTGTGTGTGTGTGTGTGTGTGTGTGTGTGTGTGTGTGTGTGTGTGTGTGTGTGTGTGTGGTGTGTGTGTGTGTGTGTGTGTGTGTGTGTGTGGTGTGTGTGTGTGTGTGTGTGTGTGTGTGTGTGTGTGTGGTGTGTGTGTGTGTGTGTGTGTGTGTGTGTGTGTGTGTGTGTGTGTTGCATCGTTACCAAACCTGTGAAGTTTTGGGCCGTTTGGAGCATTTTCACTGAAGTTATGAGAAAAAAAGTTGATGAGCATTTGAAGATTTGAAGAAATCTCAAAACTGTCCTGTAGATGTCTTCACGGCTGGACTGTTAGCACACATGTGAAGTTTGAGCACTTTTTGAACATTTTCATAGGAGTTATTGCGACATCGTCTTTTATGGCGAGGGATGTGTGTGTGTGTCCCTCCATGGAAACGGTATGATGACACCCCATAATTAACGTAGAGCTGTTGAGGGCTGGACCGTTAACCATTATCTGAAGTCTGGTGCTGTTTTGACCCTTTTCATAGGCGTTACGACAATGGCGAGGGATGCGTTTCCATGGCAACGGCATATGGTGAGATGTCAGATTTGACGTAGAGCTGTTGAGGCATGGAGAGGTGATATACAGGTGAAGATTGTGGGACGACCGGACTAATTCTTCTACTGTCTTTAATTGAGTAACATTTTGATTGAAGGACTTTTACTTACAACAGAGTTTTCCTACACTCTGGTATTTCTACTTTTACAACAACATTTGAGTACTTCTTCCACTTCTGTGTACTTCTTCCACTTCTGTGTATTTTACTTAGAGGGTCCTTCTGGGGGATGTAATTGTGTGTTTTGACCTCGGCCACCGGGAGCACTGTTACCCACACACTGTGTGTGCACCGGCGCGTCCATGCCGGATACCACCGACTGACGCCCTGCTCCACTCATCAGGAGCGGCTGGTGGCTGTGGGAGAACTGCGGGACAAACATGGCACTTCGGCCTGTCTCCTACCACTACATCGCCGCAAGACGACGACGATGAAGGTGGTGGTGGTGGTGGTGGAGTTGATGAAACGCAATGGTGTCGAGCATGGTGGATTAACTCTTCACCATGAATGACAGGTACCACCGAGCGGCCCGGGACGGCTACCTGGACCTGCTGAAGGAGGCAACAAGAAAGGATCTGAACGCCCCGGATGAGGATGGCATGACGCCGACGTTATGGGCTGCTTATCACGGCAACCTGGAGGCTTTGCGGCTGATCGTCGGGAGGGGGTGGGTACAAAGAATTGGAAGATATTATTATCATCATTATTTTGTTTTAAAGTGTTCATCAATGTGCTCTGTCCCGGTTCAAATAAAGGATTAAATGAACAAATGAAATATAAGCTATAACTTATCAGGACGTGTGAGCACTACTTTTCCAATCTTCAATCATTTGTATTGGGTATTAAAACTATTTTTGAGAAAAGTGAAGTATTTCACAGGTTCATTTTCTTATTACAAAGGTGTGCAGTGTCAGATTGTGCATAAGGCAACCCATAACAAATCATCTTCTTTATTGGAAATTATTATAAGAACAAAATGTATTTCTATGCTAGAAGTAGGGCTATGTAAAGGCATATTTTTTTTGCAGTGCCGTTTAACCATACAATGTTCAGCTGCTAGAGCATCAGTACTCCACTAACAATGTAGGTCTCTTTGGAACATTGCATTTACTCAGTGTTACCATGATAACTATTATCAGTTAGTTAAACTTGACATTTAAGACATCAAGTTGATATGCCATTATCTCTAAAAAAGCAAATACAGTTTTCATGGGATGATGGGATATGTTTTACTTTCTTGACATAGTAAGTTAAACATAAATATATATTGCCATATCTTGGAAAAAACTACATTTCATATTTGACAGGGTTCAGTACTGCAGGCCCTGATCTACAATTATTCAACACAATAACCTCAGGCTTTGCTCTTGGCTAGAAAAACACTTTGACCAAACAACCTACTATTTGGCCATGTCTGAAAACACTGATAAGAGAGTGTCTTGCCCAACAAGATTACAAAACATGTCTGCATAGATAACCACCAAGGCACAGGTTTTTTTTTTCTGCATTTACATTTGAACATGCTCTAGGGATCTTTTTGAGCTAAAGTTGAAGTTAATGCTTTAACATTGATCAGTTAAACGTTCCCCAGATACTTTCCACACTTTAGAATCATCCTCTGAAAGACTATTACGAATATTTTACAGCGGGGGATACTTTGTGAAGCCATATAGGATATTTGACTGTGTAAAATTGAACACATTCATGGCATTTATCATGATGACACTGATTAAGGTCAATTGATGGCAGGGACACCTCTCAGGAGAGCACATATATAACTCATAGCGATAGTAGTTCATCATGTTCTGCAGTCCTGTATACATTCAGTGAATTGTAACTGTATAAAAGCCAGAACATGTTGGCCCATTAAAATAACTATATGTAAAATAAGAAATGTCAATACTTTGTTTAAATCCGTTATTGTTGATGATTATCACTTTGATAGAAACTTCTGAAGTAATGGAGACAGGACTCAGAGAGACACGGGAAGAGCAGGAACTTTGATGGCAAACACTGACAGTTTATTTGGAGCTTCGGCCGGAGAATTCACAAGACATGTGCTGTGCCACGAGTTGACACAGCGGTTGCCAGACCAATTCTGGAGACCTCTACCCCAGACCCATGTATTTAGCTGGTTCTGAGAGAAGAATCAACATTGTGCATAACAAGATAAAACCATAACACCTCTATCAGCTGATGCCAACAGGCAGGAACAGGAAGACAAAACACTGAGAGCACAGCAGCCCAAGGTTGCAGGTAAACTGGGTCAAAGGTGTGGGCCTAGGAAAATATTTCCCCAACAATCATAACAACCAATTGCACATTATCACCAGCAACATATATCTTTTAAATCAAATGTATATCAGTCAACATGTTAGAAGGCTGCTTCATTGTATAAATGCTGGCCTTACTTCAACAAAGTGAGCTAATGTGATGATGAGGAGTCATGGACAGCCCATTCCTCATTTTTTCTGGCTGACCTGGTTAGCACGTCAGCCACAAAAAAGGGCCCATTATGAAGCAGTGTAATGAGTAAAGTTTGTGAGAGGCTTACTGTAAAAGTGAGACGATGAAGATTATTCATCATGCGAAATATCAGATTTTAGGCCGTTTATTTTTGCTTTTTTCTGTAAACACACAGGCAACAAAGGGTGAAAGGCTTCCAGTCCTGATGCTAAACTAAATTCACTATTTCCCACGGAATAAGTACAAACAAGGCCCTAGAAGCATTCATCTGACAAGGACATAATATTCCTCTATTGATAGCACAACGCATATAAACCCCCTGATTGACATGAGGTACTAAAATTAAACATTAATAGCTGCCATAATGTTTCACAGAGGCAGCAAACTCGTGAGACCCGGGGATATAATGAAGAGAAGTTTAATACCGCTTGGCAATTTCATGGGAAAGTTGCCATGCAGCGCTATATTTGGCAAGTATATTGCACTGCGTGACCTGCAATAACATCAAGCTGTCATAGGAAGTGAAGAAGCAAACAACCTATAATGCAATAAATAACAGGGGGAGGGATAAGTAGGTAGAACTATCACTGCTGCACTCAGCATTTTACTGGGACAGACATAAATTATGTCTGTCCCAAGATTAAGCTATATTTTTAGATACATTCTCCACCTACAACAAGCATACTGTATATAATATGAGGGTGATAAATATTTCATCTCAAAATAGAAATTGATCATGGCTACATTTTGTTTATCTCTTGAAATTAGTTTATGGCTTTTTATGTTCCTATATGTATTCAGCGCAGGGTTAACAGTTCCTTTAACAGGACCATTGTTTTATTGTCTCTTTCTGGTGTGTTTGCCAAATATTGTCTATCATGCACTCGGTTGACAACCATTTCCCTTAAGTTGAACTTCAACAACCCCTGATCCTGAAGCTGCCGTTTCCTTTTGAAACCAAATCCTGTCCAGAAAGAAAAGAGCAAGGGGGCTGAAATCAGAGTGGGACTTTGCTTATTGCTGCCCAGGTTGGGTCTCGCCGATCTGACACACATTCCCTGTGAAAACCTTACAACACAATCCATCAATAATACATTCGCCTTTCGACAGTAGCTTCACGTCTACCATATCAAATATTCAGCAGTCTGTATGTGGCTGCATTGGGTGTGACACCAACGAGATGTCTCCAAACTGAAAAATATAAATGCAAATAATTTAAGGGTAAGATTGTTTAACAAATATCAAATTGTTGCAGCCAAAAACATGCTCTATACAGTACATTATATCACAAATAAATCCTGTTTTTCTTGGAATGTTAATATCAGTAAGATCCTAAATGGAAACTAAAAATGTGAAAATGCAAATATTGAGTTCAATATTTTTGCTTTTTAGCTGTACTCTGCAGACAGCCTCTGCATCATTGAAACAGCTGTAATACTGTATGTTTTGTTCTGAAGGAATTCAGCATGACATCACCAGCTATGCACAAATGTGCTTTTTGAGTCAGGAGCAACCGATATGGCCTCCCCTGAAACTAGATACAGGTAGTGTAGCAGTGTTGTTGGCCAGCCTGTGGTCATATTACAGACAAGACAGCAACACGCACACATAGAGGTAACCCTAAGGTCGCGGACTGTCAGACAAGGGTAAATGTTGCTTGGTTGCAGTTATGGATAATAGTCTAATTATTTTCATTTTAATCAAGACATACTGTTTGCAAATTAGTCAAAGCCTTTTAAAAAGTATTTGTTTTACAAAACATCTGTGCTTGGCTTTCTGAAAGGGCAATTTGGTGTTTAGATGATACATTATTAAATAAGGCCCCATTAACAACCCATGGTTGGCAGGTCAGTGTTGAAAACATAATCAAAAAATCACATGCTTACTCATGAGTATGTCATCTAAACAAAAGGCCAAGGAGACAACCGGTATCCATGACAGTCTAAACAAGAGCTGAAAATATTTTAGTCTTAAAGAAAGTTCAAATTCTGTATCTAATATCTTTCTTATGACCCACAGAGGAAACCCTGACAAGTGTGACATATGGGGGAACACGCCGCTCCACCTGGCAGCCGCCAATGGTCACCTCAACTGCCTTTTCTTCTTGGTGTCTTTTGGTGCCAACATTTGGTGCCTGGACAACGACTACCACACGCCATTGGACATGGCAGCCACAAAGAATCACATGGATTGCGTCCGCTACCTGGATAACATCGCCACCAAGCAGACAGGCCTCAACACGAAGCTGGTCAGCAAGATGAGGGACAAGGCGTTTCGCGATGCTGAGCGGCGAATAAAGGAGTGCGTGAAGATGCAGAAGAAACACCACAAACGCATGGAGCGGCGGTTTCAAAAGGAGACTTCTGAGGCCTCCGCATCAGACGTTATGAGCTTTTCCAGTTACAGCAGCAGCTCTCTTAGCCACAAGTTGCACAAATTAAATTCAGCCACAGTCAGCGTGCCATATTCTCAGGTCAGGAGTTCTTATTTTGTATTCTTAAAGGGTAGAGTTTGTTTTGTTTGGCATGTTTGCATTGTTCAGGTTGCCAACTAGACAAGAGTTTTGAATCCCTCCTCTTTAGTGCATGACATGAAGAGACTAAGCTAAATTCTAACATGGTCACAGTGACGATGCTAAAGAGCTATGTTAACAGATGTTACAACTGATTATTAAATGACTACTCTTAAAAGTATTTGGTCATAAACCACAATATTGATTTATATTATTTTGTGGACCATTGACATGTCCTGTGTAATAATTTAAATTGGTCATAAGTAATGTTTGGAACATTTGAATCTTTAATTAGTTATTGTGACTAATTACTGTTTTTATTTATGTCGTATTAGGCTACTCTTCATGCCACAAACCGCGGGAAGACCAAGATACAGAGGAAGCTGGAGAAGAGGAAACAAGGAGATGGAACATTTAAAATCTATGAGGAGGGGAGGAAGAGTGTTCGCTCTCTCTCTGGACTTCAGCTGGGCAATGATGTCATGTTTGTCAAACAGGGGACTTACGTCAACCCTAAGGACCGTGGGCGTCCCAACGTTCGTGACATGTTCCCCAGAGACAATTACGATGCCATTTCACGTGCCATGAGCGAGCCGGACCTCCACGGGCCCGATGTGGAGTACTCTGAGATCAGCACTGACTCAGGACATGATTCCCTGTTCAACAGGCCTGGTCTGGGAACGATGGTCTTTAGAAGGAACTATGTGAGTGGGGGGATGTTTGACCTTGGCGGTCGAGATAAGGACAGTGTGGACCAGTCAGGCAATAATGTGCGTTTACGCAGTCGGCTGCAGCATTACGCAAGTGCAGATGAAGACAGCATCGGCAGTGCACGCAGCCTTCAGGAGAGGAACGTGGAGGAGCTGCCCTGGGAAGACGTCGAATTAGGGTTGGATGACGATGACGAGGCTGACACAAGCCCTTTGGAGGTGTTCCTTGCCACCCAGAGCATGGGTGACTTTATCTCCATTTTTAAGAGGGAGAAGATTGACCTTGAAGCTCTGTTGCTGTGCTCTGACCATGACCTCAAGAGTATCCACATCCCCTTAGGACCAAGGAAAAAGATCTTAGAGGCCTGTAAGAGACGGATGGAGACCATAGAAGACCCAGACTACATAGAGGACACACAACTGTGACTGATGGGAATTTCTGATGTAGAGCGTAGTGAGGAAATATGCAGATATTTGTTATGGTGTCTTTGAAATCCAGCATGGATTGTCTTCGGTAACCCACTGTTTCTTCACTTAATTCTGTCCTGCAGATAATGAAAGTTGTTGTATATGGCTCCTCATGATGTGGGCTCATCCATGCTTAAAGTTCAGGGGAGCATTGTGGAGTGAAGATTTGGACAGGGAAGACATAATGATTTACCTCTCCTAAGACATTGTGAAGATGAATGTGTCAAGCAAGAATAGGTGATTGTGAGACAAATTCCTCATAGGGTTCTGTAGGATTCAGTGTCTTGTTAGCCTCAGGAGAGTCACTGCAAATATTTGTTGTATGTTGGATGGTGGGAGTCGCCTGCACTGCATGGTTTAACAAACTGAAAGACAATTTTCAGAGTGCAGTCCTGTGCATGCCATGTGAGACTGTTAACAGAGAACTGATTGTGGGGCCAGTGTCCCCTGAAAATGTTTGCCCCTGTGGGGTAAATCTTACCACCTCATGTGCCTGCATTGCTCGTGCCTGTGCATTTGCTTAAAGGTGTCTTTTTCATAAATACTTTTGACATTAAATTCATTGTTAGTTTATTATTAACTCTTTCAATCACAACATTCTGGGCAAAATGTCCACCCACAGCCACTGTTTCCTTCTCTGTGGGTGTTTACATAAAGACAGTCGTATTGTGGCTCACTGTTAATACAGGCCAATTGTTCATGGAGATTCCTGATTTCTTTGTCTTTAGATCATTTTATAATTCTTAATATAACATCATTCTGTTCTATATTTTGCATATAGATTGATTAACTTTTGTAAATAACTAATGTTAGTGTTGACAATTTAACAGTTCTCCAACTGTTGTATACCGAGTAGTTTTAAATAATGTATTGCACTCGTTACTGTTAACTACTAAATCCATAAATTATAAGCTGCTCACATTTTAAGACGTGCCTTTTTGGGATAATTATTGGTTCAAGCTTCATAAAATGTGGCACAATTCGGGATTTTGTCAAAATGTCAAAATTGTGGTTCTTTATAACTTTTCCACTTTTATCAAAATTACAAAAATGTAGTACTACCACCAGAATTATCTACACTAATTGTTTGTGTGTGTGTGGAAGCGGAAGAGACACAGAGAGTGGAACATTCTTGTTTCGACATCTTCAGCCAAAATCCTCACATGCTGTTCACACACAAAAGACAAGCGTCACTGTTGCCTCTGTACTCCATGACCCGAAATCAGGAAGTTGTTCTGCAGATAATTGGTGTTGCCTGGAAGCTCCATGCCTCTGACATTACACTGTTATCAGAAGGAAACACTGTCAGACTCTCCCTCTTGAGTCCTTTAGCCACATTCACTAACCAAAAGCTAAACTATACATAGACTTTAGAGATAATTGTTCAACTTGTTTTCTTATTGGCAGTAGGAACCCGACACTACCGGTTTTTGTGTAACCATTATTGTTGAAATAAACCTTTAAACTCAACTTTGCCAGGGAAAGTAAATTCAGTAAATAAGCCAGGTCATTAACAGAATGAAGGAAAGGATGTTTATTCCCTCCCTGGCTTAGTCATGATAAACTCGTAATTTCCTCCTCTCATCTGCGTAATATCCTGTATCCTAAGCTTAGCGAGTGGGGATGCAGAACACAGAGAAGAGTTAAACAGAGGAGGGGTGAACATTGAGAAATGTTCAGCTGGCTGAAATACTTCAGGCGTGGTTTTAAATGTTTTCCTTATGCACTCTGGCGGTCTTTAGATTTCAGAGACGAGCAGCAAAAAGTAGTCTGTGTTGTGGTTACCGCCTAAAACTCAACCAAAACAGCTTTAGGTGACGAAGGAAAACTGTCAAAGATGGCCACGCGCAGCAGCAATAATGAGGAAAACTTGAAGGATATTCAAAACAACACAGACTTAAATAAGGAAGTGAGGGATCCTACCACCGAGATGCTGCTCCCACAAGATGTGGTATGTGATTCCTGCATCGACAGCCCTAACAAGGCCCTAAAATCCTGCCTGACCTGTCTGGTTTCTTACTGCGAAGCCCATCTCAGACCCCATCTGGAAAACACGAAATTTCAAAACCACCAGCTTGTGGATCCTCTGCACGACATCGACTGTCGGACTTGTGAGGTTCATCAGCTTCCTCTCGAGCGCTTCTGTCTGATGGACGGCTGTTGTTTGTGTCTGGAGTGTGAGAACCAGGAGCACGAGGGGCACACGACTGCATCTGTGGGGGAGGCACGGACACAGATTGAGGTCTTAACAACACAACACAACAATTTATTCAACACAGACAGGTCATGTTGTAATGGTTATCTTTGCTATTTGTGCCATTTCTTAAGGTGGCTTCGATTGCTAAAAAAAACAACCCTTTCAACATATCAAAAGGACTGAATATTACGTCATATTAAGTACTTATGTCATATGTAATGGCCTGATATCTTTGTAGCGACAGTTTTTTATGTGTTAGTTACAATTGTTTGTCCTCTAGACTGAGATGCAGAATAAACAAGAAGAGATCGGTCAGAGCTCCTCAGCAGCTGAGAAAGCAATTGGAAAGCTCCAGGACAACACTGACTTAATAAAGGTATGTTATAGACAAACATACACCAAAACACATTTTCCTTCGATTCATTTAATGCACATTGGTCTGGTTTGAATTATGTTTTTTTTCTTTTTTCTCTTGCTCTTCAGTCTTCAGTGCAGGAGGTTTGTGTTATTGTTGAACAGCAGTTTTCCAGGCTGCAGACAACTGTGGAGGAGGCCAGGAAAGGGGTGAAGGAGGTGCTGGAGGGAGAGCAGAGACAGGCCCTGAGACAGGCTGAGGGCATCCAGGCACATCTGGAGCAGAAGAGAGCAGAGCTGCAGAAAACTCTGGCTCAAATGAATAAACTCTCCAGGAGCAAGTCAGATGTTGACTTCCTGCAGGTACAAAATATCTCAAATACTTCAGATAAAAACAAATAAGTATTTTGTCTGAGATGATCTGGGATAAGCACAGGAAGTTCTCTGAGACAAGGAGTTTACTTTGGACGACTGTGTGGACAGTATATACAGAACAGGCATTTCACTTAGTCTGTTATTTTTGCAGAGATCAGGGAAAAAGCAGTTGCATGTCATTCAACAGTCTCGTTTCACACACTAATATATGTCACTTTTGTTTTGCTTGTTCCAGGAGTACTCAGAGTGGAAAAAAGGAGTGGCAGATGTATGTCTGCCTAGCCCCTGCATCAACCGCATGAACCATCTAACTTCCTTTGTCCAAGTTGTGACAGATACTACCAAGGAGCTGTGTGACCTGATACTCTCGTCCTGCACAGAAAGACTGAAATGTAAAAGTGGTGAGTGTGTACTGTAGATCATACTCTATCAATATAAATTCCTATCTTAAGTCTTTTTGCTTACCATGGACAAAACAGATTGAGACTTCCTTTCTTCAGTGTACCTTGTAACTAGGAGTGAAATGTGATCAGAATTGCTCTTACTGTATATCAGTTCAAACATACATTTGCTGATATCACAATGTCTGCCACGATTTGATTTTGACTTTAATTCGATTTAGGTGCTTCACGTAATCATTATGAGACAATATCAAAAGCCCCTTTTAATACAATCAGTTGTACTTTTTATCAACTCACAAAGGGCAGCTGAAAAGTGAATGAAGATTACATTTGAATAACTAGGCTAGTCCAGATTTTAAAATGATGAACAATATATTCCTTTAAATAGAAATAATAAAAATAGATCTGTATAGCTTGTCCCTCTTAGAGGTCAGTGCACCATATGTAAGCATGGGCTGTTGTTGTTGTTGTTGTTGTTGTTACAAGATGAGTACATTTCTTTTGTTAATTTCTAAAAATCCATGTGACTTTAAAGAAGCTATTAGGACAATTGTGTAGGATTAAACTCTTCATTTTGAAGAGGAGAAGGCCACAAACCTGGTGAAGAGTGCACCTTCCTCTGTTTAGACATGCGTTTAGCCATCCCAGTACCACTGCCTCACAAGGCCACTACGACTGCTGTGCTGTAGATATTTTATGCTTTTTCATCTTTCTTTGCTCAGCGTTATTTTGTAAACCTCTATTTACACATCTTCTTGTCTTACAAAAAACCCAACAATCTTTCTGCATAATATAAACTAGGTACTAAATCCCTGATGCAAGAATCTGAACCTTCAGCATTGCCTGATCCTGAGACCCGAGAGGACTTTTTAAAATGTAAATAGACTTTTTATATATATTATATCTGTGTTTACCATTTGTTGACTTTGAATGTTTAATTTAGAATGATTCACCAGCTATATATCCCCTATATTGTAGACACAAGGAGTTTGACCTTTGACCCAGACACCACCCATCATTTTCTCCGTGCAACGGATGGCAACAGAAAGCTGACTAACACCAGCCCCTGGCAGCACAGCTACCCAGAACACATTGCTCGCTTTGATTATTGGCGTCAAGCAATGACTTCGGACAGCCTTTACTTGGGGAGGCACTATATGGAAGCAGAGCTAAGTGGGGAGGGAGCACATGTAGGAGTCACGTACAAGAGCATCGATCGGAAGGGAGAGCAAAGCACCAGCTGCATCAGTGAGAACGACTTTTCCTGGTGCATGGGAAGGAACAGCCGAGGTTTCTTTGCCTGGCATACTGGTGTGGAGACGCCTTTGGGTGGCACTGATATCACAAGAATTGGCTTATATGTAGATTTTGAAAGGGGCTCTCTGTCTTTCTTTGATGTAACAGGTCCTATGCAGCTGCTACACAAGTACATGGTTGATTTTATAGAGCCGTTATATGTTATAGCCTGGCTGTCAAAGAAAGACAACGTCATTTCTCTTGTTTAAGCTAAATGTTCAGCTGCCTTCACTGTAAGCTTGTTAAAGAGTATAGAGTGCCTTATAAATGTTTATTGAGGTTATATAACAAGTTATCTAATTGTATGGTTCATATGGAGGATTTTTTCACATACATGTCAGTTAAGGTTACATTTACTACCATCTAGTGGCAACTCTGCAACATGACCTAAGAGACCTGCACAGCAGTAGGTGTGTTAGGAATTTACTGCAGCTTTACTGCTCTTGAATTTAAAACAGATGGTGAAAAAAAAAGTACACAAATGTCTGCCAGCATTTCTTTTATTTGCCTTTCATATACACTTGCTGAAAAAAAAGCAATAAAGCTTTAAGAGGATTTTCTTTGTCTATGAAGTGTCTGTAAAATCATCAAGTTAATACCATTAAGTCGTTTTTTTAAATCATTGACATCTTAAAAGTTGACTTGTTCACCTTCAGGCATTAAAATCTGTTTCATTATCATCATAAACCGGATTTACAAAGTGCACACCTGACTGAGTCATGGAGATTGAATTCTTTGTTTCAGTCGCATACAGTCCAGGAACGTCAGGCATCAAGTTTGACTTGTCAAAAATTGGATTATCATAACCGTGATCAATAGGCCCATTGAGGTCTTCCTCATCTCTGCTTCTCCTAAAGCTGCTCAGAGATGGCAGGGATGGCAGCGATGGCAGCGATGATGGCATTTGGATAACCCCTCTACGAATCAGAAAGACCAAAGTGATTATGATTGAAATCCCAATCAAAACTCCAAACACAGTTCCAACCACCATCCCAGCATTGCCTCCAGTCTGATCGCTGCTGTTCCCGGAGGAGGCTTGAAATTCAGCCTCAGTGATACCCAGGCTTGAGCCATGAGAGCGTGCATCCTTCAATATGTCCCTGGCCAGACCCTCTGACTGTGTTCCCTTCTCTTCATCCACAATAACCACCTGGATCTCAGGTGAGGTACCAAAAGGGACGATCCCCATCAACTGCTGTGACTTGAAGATTTTAGACATGCCCAGCTGAATGGATTTGTATTTTGGCAAAACTAGAAATAGGTGATGGATTCGTTGCCTGTAAGTTTGCAGGTTGAAACCAGTGGCAGAATGGATTGTGACAATGGCACCACAAACTTCACAGCAGTGTCCGACAGGGAGGAGAGGCTTCTTACAGCCCAGAGAGGCACATTGAACAGTGCTACAGATACGCTTATGGTTTACAGAATTCCCACAGGAGCAGCCAGAAGGATCTCCACACTCTTGGTTCCCAACAGTGACAGCAGAGGACCCGTGAAACTGCAGCCGGCCTGAACGTGAGCTGAGATATTGGGTGAACTCAGAGGTGCTTTCATACTTCTTCCCCAGCACAGACACAGATTTGACAGGAACAGAAGACTGACTGGTGCTGGTGTCCACCCTGAATGAAGAGCTGGCTTTAAAAACCACATCGTCGTACTGGCAAGGGACACTCTCCTCGTGGACTGAGAACAAGAAGTTTCCACGCTGCAGGTCATCCAGGGTTGCAGACTCCTGCCACAGAGCTGGGTTTAACCATTGAAGAGACTCAGAATCTTTGAACTTTGTCATAACACCCGCTCCGCAGCCCGGATCCTGTCCACTCACAACATAAAATCCAGCTCCTGAATTCAGGATGAACTCTCCATCCACTGGCAGCCTCATCTCCTGCACAGCATGTGTGGTCTCCACAAACACGGACACTTTTCTCTGGACTGGAAACTGAACTATGTCGTTGCCACATGGAACAGATTCTTTGTCCCAGTTGGTCTTGTTCTCATAGTTGGTGTCAGGAATCCACTGTTTGTACAGGGAATCCGATGTCCCGACAAGACAGAAGAGGAGAAGAAGCATGTCTGTTGTTTTCAGCATCCTGAATGTTTGTGACGGGCTGAGAGAACATTAGGTGAACTTTGTTTCTAACCTTGTGACTGACACATGAGTGCACACCAATAAACAGTGAGGTTGGTGAGCTCTGAACTACATCAACCTGTTGAAGCAGCTGACCTGTAAACTATTTACTTTTACTGCAGCAACAGCCCTGATTCATCCTTTATCCTTTGCTTAGTGTGTCTTTTATCACAATATCACACAAATGAATGAATTATAAACAAATACTTTGATTTTTTTAAAAACATTTCCATAAACAACTTCTGAACTGTCCTCTCCGCCCATTTTACCCCCAAATTGACTTTGTTGAGGTTTTCATTGAGAACTGTTCCATACATATTTGCTTTCAAACTAAATGTCGAAATCTCCCACTTGTATTTAGGATGAGTGCAGACATGCTGAGGCCCATAAATGAAACAAACAAAGGATAAATATTTCACTCTTATCCAACTAAATTACAGACATAAAGCTGAAAGAAAAAATACGTTTTACAACATTACATTTCTTTAGGATTTCTTTCAAGATCGTCCCAAACATCATTATTTTCCTGGAGGAGGCCTATATTTTAGCCTGAGCCACGCCCTTCAGATTCAGATTTCTACAACATGAGATGATCCTTTGTCTTTGGCACTAGTAAAACAGCACTCACCATACACAGCACAACATAAATACATAATACATGAAAAAATTGCATCTTAAAGTCAAAAAGCGACTAAATGGCAGTCATAATAAAAGTGCTAAGTGAAATGTTCTTTGACTTGCGTGTAGTCCATTGAAATAGCCTATCATGACATGGAAGTTTATTAATGATATTGGTTTATAATGATGATAAAAATGTGTAGATTTGTACTATTGCTTTTGCATCAGCATAGTATAATAAGACAGAAAACAGCTTTTTTGTGATTTAAACTGTATTGGATTTGTCCATATCTGATTCAGCAAAAAATAGGTTCAATCTGCAAAAAAAGCATTCATCCTGCTTTCTCATAGAGGTACCAGGATCATCCATGAAAAAAAATAAACATTGAACGCACCCTCATTGAACATGAACGTCACCTGAGGCAAGTCTGCACTTGCGACACAATCCCTTACTTGCACACATAAGAAAGACATGTTTTTCTTGTTTACATAAAATAACAATAAAGTAATAAACGTTTTTCCGTTTTTGTTGTATGAATCAAAAGACGGATAACGAGAAAACCTCATTAAAAAAACGGTCCGATTTTGGTTTTTGATAACAACTTCATCAATTTTCCGTTTTGTATTGAAGAATGAAGAAAAGCGGTCCGGTGGACCGGAAGTTAAAGAACATATTTCAAAATAAAAGACACGAGGATATAATGGCAATGCTGTAAAGGTTCAATCCTGGAACCCAGAAGTCTGACGAGGATACGTTTATTTCTGCATTCACATGCAGATATGCGTTTATAGAGATTAATCCATGTATGCAAGCTCTGTGCATAACTTTATTTCGCTGACCTCCGGTTTGTACGACTTCCGGTTTGTACTGTGTCTGTAAATCCAGTGTCCCCAGCTTGTCGCTGTGTGACAACCATAGACTGGTGACAACGTCATGTTTGTTGCATACCTGCAAGATTTACCTGTGAACTGTCGCCCTACTTTCACCTGCACCCAGCAGCAAGCGGGAGAACGATATATCATACAGTCGACCCCTAAAACAGTTCACTCAGTAATGGAACAGTTGTTAAGCATTATTTTGTCCAACTAGACTATATTATGAATTTGATGTTTGTCTAAACTGCTAAGAAGCTGACAGCTGAGTTAGAACAGAAAGACATGCAGGCCATAATCACTAGACGCTCAAAAGAGGAATGTGTGTGTAAGGCTTCCATGAACTGAATTGAAACACTGTCCATTAGTTGATTAATAAACAAGAAATTCAAGTCAAAGTTTTAGGCATTTTCATTTTTAGCACGCTGTAAATATGGACTATGAATGAACACATGTGAAAACACACAAATAGGTTTATTCTCAATACTCATAACAGTATCAGACACAATGACTTTACTGAGAGTGAAGATGACATGAACATAGTTACTGTATGGTACTGAAGACAAAATACAGCATATTGCATTTACCTCTTCCTCTAACTCTTTCTCCAAAATTGGCCTCCATTGTTGTGCACAACAAAGTGTTCAAGCTCAGGTTTCTAAGTGATCTAATTGGTTACGTGGCTTTTAACATGTTTCTGGGGGCAGGGGTTTGATAATTGCGTGTGGTATTTCAGTGGCAGTGTTTAGCAAACAACACACAGGCTGTTGGTTTTGAACAACGTGTCAACGTGTGTGGTGCAGAAGCAGCAGTGAAGTCCTTGTAGATCCCTGGCACTTTGAGGGCAGACAGATCCAGCACCTCTCAGCTCTCAGAGACATCAACACATAAACTATTCTGTGTGCATAGCTTACTTTCACATAACTACTAATCTCTCACTTTACTTTCTCTGACATTGTTCTCTGCTTTGGATTGCGGACATCCCAGCCATGTGCTCTACCGGGCCTGGTTTTACACACTGGGTTTAAGCAAGATATATAAATGATGAGATGATGTGTGTATGAGACATGATGAGTGTGTAGTTTTAGTATTTAATGACATTATTCTCAGACTTGCCATAGTTCTTGGTTTGTACCACTGCTGCTCTGTACAGCTGAGTACTGGGGACCCACTGGGAGTCATGTGACTGGAGCAGGAGAGTAACACGCGTCACACCTGCAGCCATGATGCTCCAGCTCAACGGGGGTCGAGTCTTTCAGCCCCACCTGTAAGAAGAGAAACAAAATAAATACGTATTCAGTTTGCTTTGTATTATTTATTTTAGGGTAACATTTTGGTTTAATAACATTGTGCTATTTTAAGGAGTAAATAAGTCATCTTTTTTCCTAAATGTTTTCTACTTACAACTTCTTATACATACTGATATGAATTGATTTACTTTTATACTATGAACGAAGAAAAATAACTCTTTAACAACAGAACAGGAACAAAACACAACTGTGACCTCTGTGCAGCACACACATACCAGTCAGTCAATTTCTGGGGAGTAGCTACCTTGTGCTAGTTATATTAAAGTTTATGTTTTACTATTGGCTGTGTCTAACCTGTCTAAAATGAGCCAAATCCCCAGGAACATGTTTAACCGGACGGTAACTAAGACAGTAACAACACTTCATCCTGAACTCACTGTGGGGCCTGTCTTCATGGACCTGTAGCATAACACCCTGACACATACAAAATACAAAGTATGTTCATTAAGAATGCACATACTGTCCCTCCTCTGTCTTTCAATGTAGTCAAACTTGTTGAAGAAAAACAATAAGTTTAACGTTACAGAAATAAAAGCTTCATTAGTCACCCTCCTAATTGTAGACGTAACTTCATAAGTACAACTTGAAACATTTCTCCCGCTTGCTGCTGGGTGCAGGTGAAAGTAGGTCGACATTTCTGTTTACATCGCTGACATTTGTCACAGGTAAATCTTGCAGGTATGCAACAAACATGACGTCACACACCGACACGCTGGACACTGGATTGACCAAATAACTACACACTCTTATTTACATTTGACACATTGTTCAAAACCAACAGCCTGTGCGCTGTTTGCTAAACACTGCCACTGAAATACCACACTCAAGTATCAAACCCCTGCCCCCAGAAACATGTTAAAAGCCACGTAACCAATTAGATCACGTAGAAACCTGAGCTTGAACACTTTGTTGTGCACAACAATGGGGGCCACTTTTGGAGAGAGAATTAGAGGAAGAGGTAAATGCAATATACTGTATTTTGTCTTCAGTACCATACAGTAACTATGTTCATGTCATCTTCACTCTCAGTAAAGTCATTGTGTCTGATACTGTTATGAGTATTGAGAATAAACCTATTTGTGTGTTTCCACATTGCATGTGTTCATTCATAGTCCATATTTACAGCGTGCTAAAAATGAAAATGCCTAAAACTTTGACTTGAATTTCTTGTTTATTAATCAACTAATGGACAGTGATTCAGTTCATGTAAGCCTTACACACACATTCCTCTTTTGAGCGTCTAGTGATTATGGCCTGCATGTCTTTCTGTTGTAACTCAGCTGTCAGCTTTTTAGCAGTTTAGACAAACATCAAATTCATAATATAGATATATAGACTGATAACAACCTGGTACTAAGCACACAGGCATCTTGTTAAAGTTATCTTATCTTAGCCAGCATATAAGATTGAAATATAAGACTATGAAAAATACGCAACTAGAAAGACTACAAATCCCAGAGTCGCGTAAGTGATGTCACAATTGTTTTCCTCCACTAAGAGATAGCTAAGATCAGCGCCATATAGATAGAATCTATCTATATGGCGCTGATCTTAGCTATCTCTTAGTGGAGGAAAACAATTGTGACATCACTTACGCGACTCTGGGATTTGTAGTCTTTCTAGTTGCGTATTTTTCATAGTCTTATATTTCAACAGTTTTACGACAAACTGTGACTTTTTTGACATGGAAATGATTTTTTAAGATTGACAAACATATGTGTAATTCATGGCACAATTCAAACGGGATCGAAAGATAAGTTTTCTCTCTCCATTGACTTCAATACATTATTTTTCCGAAATAAGGTCCCATGGGGCGGAAGTAGATGGGCGTGACTTCGCCACTCTATAAGGTCCCATGGAGGTCCACCGGAAGGGGAGGGACTTCGCCACTCTAGTTTGTCAGCTGGTAACTGTTCTTTTTTTTTTTTTAACTTGTTTTCTTTTGTAGAAAAACTCTAAATGATGTTGTGGAGGCCCATCCATCCAACATAGAGACAGCAGCACAGATGGACAACATCCAACATTTGACCAGTCCTTTCCATAATACCAGTGTTAGGGACAGCATTCACCATATGGAGGCAGTGATGGAGAGGGCCCACCATGGTGGTGGATGGCTCCTGTCTGGCATTATCTGCATCAACATCCTGATCCTGGGCTGCGCTCTGGTCAGCGGAAGTACCTTCAACAGTGTGGCCATTACTGCTGTACACAGGCAAATCTTCCTCATCATTCTCCCACTCCTCACAATGTTGTGGATGCTGTTTTACACAGTCTTCACCTCACGAAAGGATGAGGCTGTTTCGTTCAAAGATGGCCATGCGGGGCCTGCATGGCTCCGAGGTCAGTTCATTCTTGGTTTAGGTTTTAGGTGAATGTCATTTCAAGATTTAATCACTTAAAATGTTTTTGTTCCAGCTGGACTTCTACTGTTTGGACTTCTCAGTCTCATCATGGACATCTTCAAGATTGCCACCGCTGTGGGCTACCTTCACTGTGACTCTGCTGTTATAGTTGCATTTCCTGTCGTCCAAGCTGTGTTTCTATTTGTCCAGGTTGTTTTTATTTTAAAAACGTTAAGTTAATGCATTGCAAGAACATGCAATCTGTTGATGAGTTGGGAGAACTGAACAAAACCCTGTTGGCTTTTTAGACATATTTCCTGTGGATTCATGTGAAGGACTGTGTGCAGCTACACACACATTTTACACTGTAAATTATTTTCTTTATTCATCAGAAAATATACCTATTCTTGCTGCACACTCATGTTTTCATTCTTCCAGATGTGGGCTTACTCTTACGCTTTCAACTAACCTGGTGGTATGGATGGCAGCCGTCACTGAGGAATCTCTTCACCAGACTGACATTCCTGATCTAAACTACAATGTCTCACAAAAGATGTACAGAGGTATTTCGAGATGGTTTATTTTCAACTCTTTCAGATTTATTTTAGCATCAATAAGAGAAAAATAACTTAATCTTCCATTTCAGCCAGCTTTGTCAATAAGAAGTGTAATTGCAGTTACTCAGCATGCTACACCTTCAAAGAGGCCTCCTACTACCTGTATCCCTTCAACATAGAATACAGTCTCTTTGCTTCGGCTATGGCCTACGTCATGTGGAAAAACGTTGGTCGGCTTGTGGACAATCACAGCCATCACAAGGTCAAGTTCCGCATAAAGGGTGTGTTTGGGACCTTTGACCGGCGTCCTCCTGGTGGTGGCAGGACTTGCAACATTCATAGTGTACGAGGTGGACATAGAAACAGGGGATGTGAAGAAAACAGACAAGGCTCTGCTGATCCATTTCATCATGAATATAGTGATAGTGGGCATGATGTCCCTCTCCACTGTGATTGGCTGCATCATCTACAGGTTGGACCACAGGGAGCACGTATCTGAGAAGAATC